ACTTTATACAATGAACATCTTACACAGTAAGTTTCATCAGGTTAACTCATTACCTAATCTAGGTCCATTCTGGTGGTAGGGAATAAGGGGATGTCTGGTGGGTACACCCCACCACTATAAATGTTCGGCAGTGGCCACTGGTACTATGCTAAACGATATGTTTCCTCGGGGTATATGGGGGTGTCTGGCAGGTATACCCCACCATTAAAAATGTCTGGCGGTGACCATTCCTGATACCTGGTACTATGCCCAACATTTTCCAGTAGGTTTCATCGGGTTAACTCACAAGCTGATCTAGCTTAATTTTGGGGTACCGGTTTTTTGCGTCTGGCACGCACCCCCCACCACTGGAAATGTCTGGCATTGTCCATTCGTGATATCTTGAACTATGCCGAATATATTCTGATAGGTTTCATTGGGTTAATTCACAAGTTGATCTAGCTCAATTTTTGGGGCCATTTGTATGTCCCTCCTGACCACACCCACCACAATGGGACCGGCAGATGCCCATTCTCCTACATAGACAGGCACATAGAACATTACTATATACACAGAAATTGGTTAACTTTCCAGCTATGCTGACACCCCTGGGCTCCTGCTCTATAAAATCCCCATAAGAATTCTAAGGTTTAGAAACTTTCACAGTCAGGCCGCTGAAGATCATGTGGAAAAAGTATGTTCCTTGTCCAGATTTTTGCAACAATCTCACACAAAAAGAGAAATTTATATATCTGCAAGTGCCCCAACTGGGATTCGAACCAGAGACGACATAACCAATTGGACCATAGAGGCTTTTGTTGGAAGTTTGAATCCGATTGGAGATAATTCATCTCGCACTCAACTGTATCCAAATACAACATTATAATTTAAAGCACACACACATATATATATATAGGAGTTGCCGAAAATTTCGCTAATAAATATCTCTATGTCTCCTACAAGTCAAAGTATCGTAGCAGTCTATTTTGTCTGCGTCTACCTACTGATTTATTCCTACAATGAGACATACGTGGATCCGCATCAACAACACCAATTGAATATGAATTTATATATATATATATATATATATATATATATATATATATAATGTATATATGTATGAATGTAATAAACATTCTACTGCTGAAAGTTGCCATGCATTCACTGTTGTTAGGCAAAATTTAAAAAAAAAAAAAAATTACTAAGAAAATACATTGAACATATAGAATGTGACGATATACTGGCCAGTAATTTTTATGAAAACCCAAGCACTTCTGGAGTTGGATAAGAACCACATACAACATTAAACCAAGATGGTTGTATACAAACCCGATAACGAAGCTATAATTTTTAACAATACACCAGTCCTTTGTTCCAGCACTAAATTAATTCAACGGCATTCCAAATTTTATTTTAAAATAGTGCATATCTATTTAAATTTGAATTATAAATGATATTTGAACTACACAAAAGTCATTAATATTGGTGATTTTGTTTCTGTTTCTGCTGAAACACTAAATATAAATAATATTATGCAAAAACAATGACATGTTATAATGAGTTTATAGAATAAATTTATTTAATTAAATAATATGTTTATACCACAATTGTTATTAGAATATTACCGTATTCATACAGTCGACCCCAACCAGCACTCACACATTCAGTACCGACTGCAAAATCTTCACCAAAGCAAATAGGCTGTATAAATGCACTGTAATTGACTGGTCTTTCTAGTCTCAGAAGGGCAATGTCATTCGCTAACGTATAATCATCATAGTCTGGATGGGGAAGTGCCTCAGCTACGCCAACCTCCTCATAAAAGACTGAAGAATGAAACTCAAGATCTGTGGTGCCGAAACTGATGTAGTCTATTCTACCACTAAGAGAAAAACACATATTTTACAATAAAGTTAAGCATTAGTTCTCCGTCTCTGTTCACACAATTAGAAACAATGATACAATAAGAAATGCTTATATAGCCATGCGTAAGTTACGTAAAACAAATTGGTTAGAACTATCACACTACAAAAATGTGAATGAAAATATATCAATTGGTCTAGTCGACATCATAAGGATGTTTTCCAAACTGAACAATAAATTATATTAAGGTTTTATAGACGATTTAGTGAAAAACATATAAAGTACTTATCTAAACCCTTACAGACAATGAGCAGCTGTCAATGCCCATTCACGATCAATTAATGCAGCACCACAATAATGAGATCCATATACTGTGATTGAACCAATCCACGGCCATTTCCCTGGTGGTACATCTTCGCCTCCAACAATCCTATCTTCAGCAGGTAAGAAAGGTTGTGATCCACATTTTTCAGAAGTAACTGTTATAAAGAAATAGCTTTTATTTCATTTTCATTTATTTATTTTCCAAATTGTTACAAACATCACAAACCTAGCACTGTTCTGGTGGATTGTCACAAAGCAAACAAATTCACTGTGCAAAGACTCTCCAACTAGTACTAGAACAGAAACAAACAGGGTTTAATTAACATAAAAAGAAGACAAAGGAGAGAAAAAAGCGCAATCACCAAAAAGAAACAAATCGTTAATAGAAGAAGGGATCTCATCCAACATCCGTGGGAATGACATAAAAACGGAGTTAAAAAAAGCATTTGTACAGGCCTTAGCATGTCTAAAAACAATTTTCTCAGTTGTACGGGCAATGGGCTTACTCAAGTTAGAGTAAACATAGTGATCTTATGTAGGAGCGGTTGGCGCACCGGTTGTGGCTTGGACTCCCAACCTTGAGGTCGGGGGTTCGAAACTCTGGCTGTGCAAATCGCTTGTGTCCTTGGGCAAGGCACTTTATCTGCGGTTGCCTCTCTCCACCCAGGAGTACAAGTGGGTACCTGGTAGGTTCCAACACAAACTGCGCTGATTACTAGCTGCAATTTATGGAATGATAATATAATTTCATTTACTAATTTAATTTGGTGTTTCAATGTGTTCCATATGTGTTTGATCCAATGACCGGGGTAGTAATGTGAAGCGCTTAGAGGCCTTGTAAAGGCACGAAGCGCTATATAAGAACGACATATTATTATTTATTATTATCGACATTACAGGTTTTAGTCTGATAATGGATGGATTTATTCGGTGTAAACCAAGGATAACCCAAAAACGTCTAAATACGACTTATTTCCAGTACACCGGGACACAATCCAATACTATTTTCCACATTTTTCAGAAGTAACTGTTATAAAGAAATAACTTACTCAAGTTAGAGTAAAAATAGTGATCGACATTACAGGTTTTAGTCTGATAATGGATGAATTTATTCGGTGTAAACACCAAGGATAACCCACAAAAGTCTAAATAGGACTTATTTCCAGCGGGGTCCTTCTGGTGGTGATTGAGCAGTATCCGGGACACAAGCCGATACTATTTTCCAAATAGTGATACTGCATTCTTTAACATGCACATGGGCCACAATGCACAATAGACCAATGGCTTAAACGTATGCATTTTTTTTATAAAAGCTGATAGGCCTACAAGTGCCAGGTACCAAGGAGAAAGAAGCCTGTAAGAGGACCCCAGACCTAATCTTAAACTACAGTAAAGTCTACAGCTTATCTCACGCAAATTAAACACAAACAGATAATGAAAGATAAACAATAGAGTGTAAAAAAAATTAAATAATATTAATAATAATAAAAATAATAATAATAGTACAGTACAACGATATATATATAAATCTTCAAGGTATTTCAGTATTCCATAAATTTCACCTACAAACAAAGAAAAAGTGTGGTGTGTGAAACGTTGAGTGTACAATTGAGTAAATACCATCACTTAAAATTGTGAAAAAGTAAACAATTACATAGCTATATACATTACTATACTATAAAATAAAATACAGTTTGAAAAATTATTTTTTGACGTTTAAAAAAATCCGCTGGTGCTTAGTCACATTAAACACACCAATCCCTCTCTGCGAATTACTCTTACCATTCCAGCAGCCTTGTTCATCTGACCAATCGAGACAGTTATTTTCTCGGTCACATCGTTTTGCAGCGGCAATACAGACACCATTCGCACACTGAAATCTGTCGTCGCTACAAGCTGTAAACAAACAATCATTGTTTTATAATACAATTAAAGTATATTGATAATACAGTGTCATGTTTATATTTCATTTAGCGTTATGGTAGAATTGGTAGAACGCGTACAGATAGCATATAGAGATTAGATGAGGGTTATAACAGGGAGGCCTACCGGTAGGGTGAGCTCTTATTTAGTCAAATGAGTATTTTATATTTAAAAATAACAAATTGTTGTTTGGTATACAAATAAAGATTATACAGTAATTAAGATATTAAAGACAATTTTACACAATAAGTGAAATAATTCCTATATTAAAAAATACAAATTAATCAATGGCTCATTTGCTTTAGTTGTAAACTTATTGTGTTTGAAATATTTAACAATATAAAGATATGCAAACACTCTGATTTAGAAAGATTCTGCGCATTATACCCAAATACTACAAATTGGAGTTCCTGCATATTCTATGCAAAAACTCAAAATTTGTAGATTCCACCCCAGCTGTGTACAATGTTTATTTATTTCCATACTTACGGCAAGACTGTAGCTCGTCACTGAAGTCAGCACAATCGATGATTCCATCACACACTTGTTCCAATAGTATAAATTCAAAATCACCACATACAAAAATTTCTAAAAAAAAAACAAAAAAACGAAAAAAACAATATACTATTAGGATATGCTTAGAATTTATCACATATATCAAAAAAATATTCGGGCTGTGAATCGAAGATAATACAACCATTACAAACATCAGTAGTCATTTATTGTTTCATAATTGTTAAGAAGTTATAAAACATACATTTTTATGTGACAACATCCATCACAATAAAGAGATGATTGCCATCATTTTGAAATCACCTCCATCAAAGAGTTTACTGCCATTCATCTTAGGGAAGGTTTTGTAATTTTGTAATGGAAACACATAGCACTTTACACTGCCTTTGTATATTGCGTCTATTTAGTACATCATTGCATTTTACATTGTTATAAATACCATTGTTATTTTTTAGATTAAGATGTTGAAGTAAAGCATTGTTAAACAATCGATTGACAAAAAACAGCATAAATTGTAAATATAGGAATGGTATATTTATTAGTGGTGAGCAATTATGTAGGTGAATGAAAGTTGTTCTGATTAGAAATAGGTATAAGTATTGAGGTTGAGAATTGTAAAAAGTGGGAGTAGAAATTAGCAGTTCTTGAGTAGGTATTTGTAGCAATAACTACATGCAGAAATTAACTCGGATCGCTTGTTCAATATTTTTTTACGATCAGATGAGATGATGTATTATTTTCGCTCGTTGAATTATGTTTCACTTAATGGTGACGTGGGTGTTCCTGCTTTTCAGATTCATTTCCATTTCATTTATTTAATCGAAAATAATTTCAATATAAAAGAATAAAACGGTCAAAAAGAACAAAAAAGATACAATAAATGTTGGTCTCTGATTCCCCACAAGGGCCGGCGATTATTCAAAAAGTAAAATAAATTACTGTCAAAGTGGGTCTCCATCTGATGTGGGGAATCAGATAACAGCAAAACACACAGAGAATGTGTTCACATATATACTTGGACAGTGTTGTCCTGTTCTGATGTTTGCGGCGGTTAAAAAAGTGGTTGTATGTAGCGTATCCATGTATGTTTTAAACAAAAATGTTAAATCACTCACTGCCACTAAGTATATCATTTATCAGTTCGGTGTAGCTGGATACTCTTGTATAACCACCAACGTCAGAAGCACACGGGTTTTTAGTGAAACTAGTAACACCAGCAACAAACCATATACCATCACGTTTACACATCAGAGGCCCACCACTATCACCCTGAAAACACAATTTGAAGGACAGATGTACAAAATGGAATGTATGTTGACAAACTGAGCCACATGTATGTATACATACTATACAATGATTTCGAAAAAAACACAAAAATTCCAGTACGTAAGGCAAAGTTCAGTGGCACAATGACAATGGTTTAAATTTTTTAAATGTTGAATTTAATGTATGATTAAAGCATTGTTCCATGTTGTAAAATAATGGAAATCATTTATAGGAAAATAACAATAATTTTTTGTTGAATACCGGTATATAACCACTGAAGGCTGTTTTACATGTACAGGAAGTGGGTTCTATAGAATAGTAAATGCATGTGAAAGTAATTGTCTACTTTGTAGGCACCTATAAGAAATTTTTATTTATGCACATGAGAAGATTTAAAGATTACAAGAGGTTCATGAGGCCTGAGGTCATGTAGAACTTTACGGTCTCCACATCACTTCGGGTCAATAGATTTCACCTCATGAGCAGTCAACTATAATATAGTATAATATTACATCCACTGAACTATTTGTAAAGGCCCAAAACTAAGGACAGAGCATATTGATGGCCATGACTATACCATAAATTGTAACGCTTAAAGTAGCATAGTTTGCAATTCATTTTCGTTAATTTTATAAATAAAGTGTAAATACACATGATCAACTAATGGATTTATTTACATCATACAAATAATTCAATAACTAAATATACAATAGGCTTAAATTATAACTTCTAACAAATTTTATGGTTAAAGCTTATGTGATACTGGTCTATGACGTAAATACAAAAATACTTTAGTGTTTTTACTTTCTCTTGTGATATTAATTTTGTTTTGTAAATTAGGGAGTTTTTTCCCTTTTTTTGTAGTTTTTACTGTGTTTTTAGGTAATTTAACTAGTTTATAATATTAATTTTCATTTAATAATTGTTCTAAATCTACTCGCAATTCAATCATGTTTTAATTTTAATGCATTTGATAATAAAAGTAGAATGAATGAATGAAATTTTATGATAATTTTATTTTTTAGCTGAATGATTATATGTACACTTTTTTTTTTTGGAAATATTTATGAAAAATCCTACCCTGCATGCTCCTTTTTCATCCTCAAATCCTCCAGTGCAAATGGTAGAGTTTGTTATTATTTCTTCAAGTTGAGAGACATTTCTGCATTCTTCTTGGCTGATTATTGGGACTGTAATTTCTTGCATTGTATTTGGAATTGGCCCTATTGATATTATATATAACGATATTTTAATGTTTAACTTATTAACAAATTAAAAAAAGATAATATTCAAGGATTATACATAGATACATACATATCACAAGTGATACAACTTTCACACAATGTTCAGCTTATTTACATAACCCGGGTTATGCACAATCCGTGCAAGATCACAAATTGAGTTGTTCCAATTAACTGTCAGCTTTCCAACCAAGAAAGAAAACTTCTATCCTGAGGACTCAAATTCAGCCCTAAAGAGAGGAGTCTGACCTTTTGGATCAAGAAGATTTCTGCTGATCTTTACTGCTGTTGTATTATTTTTTGCCAATTCCAAAGGCAATACCACTGACTACATGGCCGGGCAATGTTGGCAAATTTAAACTAAACAATACCTAAAATCCCCATAAGAATTCTAAGGTTTAGAAATTTTCACTGTCAGGCCGCTGAAGATCATGTGGAAAAAGTATGTTCCTTGTCCAGATTTCTGTGACAATCTCACACAAAAAGAGAAATTTATATATCTGCAAGTGCCCCAACTGGGATTCGAACCAGAGACGACATAACCAACTGGAACATAGAGGTTTTTGTTGGAAGTTTGAATCCGATTGGAGATAATTCATCTCGCACTCAACTGTATGCAAATACAACATTATAGTTTAAAGCACA